GGAGTAGGGGATTGGGGGAGTGGGTAGGGGGCAGGGAAGGAGGTGAGGGAGAGGGAGTTGCGATTGACATGTGAAGCAAGATTGTTTCTAATTTAAATAAAAAGAAAATAAATAAGTGAATCAAAATATCAATTAAAAAATAAATAGGAAGATGGTACTTAATTACTACTTTAATTTGTATTGTACTGGTTTAGCAATGCTCATTCCTTTGGTTTTTGCAATGATATTCTTTTCCTATATTATTTGTCTCTATACTTTGCCTATATGCTTTTTTAAACCATAAATAGTATTTGACTTCTCTAACATCTTAAAAATCAATCTTATTTTCCCCTTAAAAACAACCACCATTCTTGAGTTTAAAGCAAACACATTGAATCAGAAATGACTACAAGTAAGGTCATGGTGCCCAATACCCCTCCTCCTTTCTTTTACCCTTTAATTCATCTTTCCAACTGTCCCCATGTAGACTACTATTTTCCTTTGTGTCTTATTACATAAATTTATCTTCTTATTAATTAGGTAGTATTCCCCAAATATGAAATATTATCATGGAATATAAGGTACCTTGAAATGTAATGTAGAGAAACTCTTCAGGAAGTTTTTAACATTTTTACTTTAATATCTACTTTAACATCTATTAATAATCCGTTTTGCATTTGCACCAAACTTCAATGGTTCTCCACTGATAGGAGGAATATATAGATAGATATGTGTCATTGAAACAAATTCAGAAAACTGAATTGTTAGGTAATTATGGGAACATCTTAGAGAGCACTGAAATAAATAGTAGAGGTCAATCTCTGGACATGGCTCCTTAACCCAGTCAAGAGAGGACATAAACATGAGATAAATGAGGCTACTGTCTGTTGTATAATATTTTAACTAGGCAAAATGTGTTATATTTGCTTATGCTGCAGAATATTGCTTAGTTGTGTAAAGGTGTGTTACTTTTGTTTTTGCTGCATTGTTTAATGATGTAAGGATGGGTGTTTAAGCTGACCTGACAAAGGTTAACTCTTGAACCCCAGGCATCAGCCTGGGAATCCAGCATGGGACTGATCAAGACCCCCTGAATGTGGGTGTCAGTGAGGAGGCCTAGGTAATCTATTGAGCCTTGGGCAGCAGATCAGTACTCATCCCGAGTATACACACGGACTTTGGACTCCCATCCAACAATGTGAGGTGCACTCTCACCCTGAACTCTTGGGGGAGGGTATAGGCCCTGCCCTGTATGAAATGACAGACTATGGACATCCCCATGGAGGGCCTCACCCTCCCTGGGGAAATGAGGGGATAATGGGGGCGGTTGGGGGGAGAGCACGGGAGGGGGGGAGGGAAAGGGAGAGGGACCTGGAACTGACTTGTGAAGCAACCTTGTTTCTTATCTAAATTTAAACTGAAAAAAAAAAGGATGGGTGTTTAATTGTGTAAAGATGGTTGCATCTGTTTCATCTTGCGTAAAGAGCTGAACAGCCAATAGCTAGGCAGGAGAGGGATAGGTGGGGCTGCCAGGCAGAGAGAATAAGTTGGAGGAGAAATCTAGGCTCAAAAAGGAGAGAAGGAAAAATGAGAGGAGGAGGAATGAGGAAGATGCCTGGGGCCAGAAGCCAGGAAGCCACCAGCCAATAGACAGAAAAGCAGTGAAACTGAGATACACGAAAGAAAGAAAGAAAGAAAGAAAGAAAGAAAGAAAGAAAGAAAGAAAGAAAGAAAGAAAGAAAGAAGGAAGGAAGGAAGGAAGGAAGGAAGGAAGGAAGGAAGGAAAGAAAGAAAGAAAGAAAGAAAGAAAGAAAGAAAGAAAGAAAGAAAGAAAGAAGGAGAAGTAAAAAGTCCCAAGGCAAATGGTAGATAATGAGAAACAGGTTAATTTAAGTTAAAAGAGTTAGCCAGAAACATGCCTATGCTAGACTGGGCATTCAAAACCAATAGTAAGTCTCTGTGTCATGATTTGGTAACTGGTTGGTGGCTTAAAAGAAAATGCCTGGCACAACTGTCTGTGTAATGTTATAGAGTTTTACAGTAAGATTTTAATGAGTAGACAGAATAAACTCTAATAACAAGCAGTATCATTGAGTTAATACAGAAGCCAGGAACATAGCTGCTCATATTACAAATGTCACCTACCATATGTAACTGTGTGCACTATTCATTTAAATCACTGGCAGCACAGTAGATTTATTTATGACACTCCACCATAGGCATGTGAGTAATGTGCTGTGCTGTGGTGTCACAATGGAAGAAATTAAGTAACAAGAAATTTTCAGTATTTGAGATGTATGAGGGTTTCTATATCAGGTTAATACTTGAATCAGTAAAGCCAATTGCATCGTATCCACCAATGTAAGTGGGAATTATTACTCTACCCATTAAAGACCCAAACAATAAAAAAGAACAGAGGAAAAAAAAAAGACATTTTCAGTCCCATCAGACTCTGTTTTTTTTTTGTTTTGTTTTTGTTTTTTTTGTTTGTTTGTTTTTTTGGTTTTTTTGGTGGTTTTACGAGACAGGGTTTCTCTGTATTGTTTTGGAGGCTGTCGGTCCAGCCCAGCCTGGAACCCACAGAGATCTGCCTGCCTCTGCCTCCCGAGTGCTGGGATTAAAGGCGTGTGCCACCACCGCCCGGCCCCATCAGACTCTTAGGGGCTTACAGTTCCTTATTGATCAAAATGTCTTTATTAGACACAAGCACCATTTAAAGAAAAAAACTGGGCTTTTCTCATTGTGGAAATGAAGTGCAGGTTCCACATGTTCCTTGTCTTGCTTCTTTAGGATCACTAGCACCAGTTTCCATGTTTTCGTTTGGTGACTTGAGTCACACCATATTTAATCTAGCAGTGAGAAGGTCAGGTAGTTGGGTCGTGAGAGCCAATGAATGAATTTTGTGAAGGCTTCAATCCTATGTTTAGATGTGTTGAGTTTGGGGTGATGTTGAGCTAGACAAGAGCCCATATGCCGAATGGATGCCACTTAAGGGAGGGGGCAAATTGTGGCGATCTTCTGCATGAACTTTAATAGGCTACTTGAGGCTAATGAGATGAGTAAAAGTATTCAGAAAGGCAGAAAGAAGAAAGCCTACCACCGAGCCTTAGAAAGACATTTATTTGTATTACATGGTTGCAAAGAAACAAGGAAAACTGCAAAGGATAGAAATGGAGTAGCCAAAAATTCAGAGTTAATAAGCAAAATAGAGGAATGCCAAAAGAAGAAGAAGAAGAAGAAGAAGAAGAAGAAGAAGAAGAAGAAGAAGAAGAAGAAGAAGAAGAAGAAGAAGAAGAAGAAGAATTGTTTGGAAAATCAAGCTGGCTAAGGCCGAGGAAGCCTGAAGTGAAAAATACCAATTTCATTTATCAACCTTGGGCTTCATGATAACCCTCACAGCATCATTCCATAGTGGCTCAAGAGTTGGCCAGAATGGATTGGTGAGTGAGTGACAAGTGAGGAAATATGAACTGCAGAATGCATTGTGCTTGCTCCTGGGGAGGGCTGGTGTGGGTCCCATTTGAGGCCTTGCGGGCATAGGTGTGGATTTTTAAGTGGGAGAGATGAGCTGATCTAAAAGCTGGAGTGAATAGTTCATTTGACAGCAGGGGGAACAGAGGGGGAAAGGCAGGGGCTAGAGGCAAGGCTGGAAGCCCTGGAGATGGGCTTTGGAAACCCGGTGAAGCAAAGTCACTAAAGTGTCTGGTGGGTGTGTATGAAAGACACGGTGAGGGAGGGGTCCACCACAGGCCTTTCCCCACTTCACAGACATGGTCTAAGGTCCAGTGGCAGCTTATGGAGACATCTTATACCACACGACTTTATATGAGGCAGAAGTTAATTCATTGTTAGTCTGGTTATTACACATTATAAATATTTCTACATTTGAAATTCCTGGAAGGTAGATGTTATTAATTGTCCCATCAGAACCTGGTTATTGGGATCATTCACTTTGGTGACTTTTAGTTTTCAGTGGGACAGGGGCTTGTGTGGAGTGGTGCACCCTTTCCTCAAGTTTATTAGATTTTATATCTCAGCAGTCTTAGACTGTCAGATTATCCCTGTCAGTTTTATTTCTCTCTGCTGTTATTCTCCAACGATCAAACTCCTCTTAGTTATTTGCCAACCTGGCTTTTTAATCCCCACCTAACCTCCTGTGCCTTAGATGTCCTGATAAATTCTCTCAGATCCTAATCTTGAACTTGTAAAGTTTTAGTAGAGTCATTCCTTCCTGGCTCCTCAAATTATTCACAATTGAGAAGTTGAGACTTACACACACACACACACACACACACACACACCCCAAAGGCAACTAAGATAGATTTTCCCTGTATTCCATGCATCCTAATGGTTGTCAACAGGGAATGCAATAGAGACAATTTGATCTCTGGAGGTGTGATTTAAATGCCACCCTGTGGTCTTGTACATGTCACTGAGCCTTGGTGTCATGTGAATTGAAAAGAATTCTCTACCGATTCTTGTGGTGGTTAGTGCCATACCCAGATTCTGAGTTTGCTAGCACCCTTGAATCTAGCCCTGTTAGTCTCTTAAAGTGCCTTTAACTTTTCACTCACTTTGTGAATCTCAAACACATAGTATTTTAAGCATGGCTTCTCTTTGCTAGTCCAACATAGCAGAAACTGTGTTAGAATCATTGCTGGACTCCCTTGTCTCTCTTTCCACTGGTGGTTATAAGAATTCACAGTTCCAAAAAAAAAAGAATTCACACTTCCAGTATCCCAAGGATTTACAAAGTAATGCCTGCTTCAGAGGAGGGGGATAGGTGGGTTGTTTTAGTTTGTTCTCTAAGATGAATTCTCGTTGCTATGAAAATTGACAAAATGAACGAATGTTTAACATGTATCACGACCACTCCGGGGCATACTTACACACGGCTACCCATTTAGTTCTTAAAGTGCATACTAATGTCATCACGATTTCTATTTTGCTACAGAAAGAAACAGACACCTAGAGCTTTAAAGGACTGCTCAGAATTTTGAGCCAAGCCATCAGTGACCCAGGAGGTGGTAATCAGCGCAGCTTCCCTTCCTTTGCAGCTCAGGGATTGTGAATTCACAAGCTATCCAGAGCCTGTTGACAGGCTGTGAGCAGCTCTGTCGGTAACCAGTAGTTGGCCAGTGGTGTCCTGAGCAAGAAGGGACCGTGCAGAGCTTGCCGCCGGCAGCAGCAAACCCTGGGGAGGTGGCTAGCCCGTCGCCCCTCTGCCAGAAGATAAAGCCTGGAAGCTGGCACCCCAGACAGAACCTGTTGCTCAGGACCGACTTGCTGCCTTCAACGCGCGCCTGGGACACTTGGCCAAGAGCAGGTAAGGACGATGGAAGACAGCCTGGGTTTTCAGCGTGGATGGGAGAACCTTTCCCAGGGTCTCTGCTGGCCTCGGTGACACACGGTTGCTTGGATTCTGCCGTTTTTTCTCTTGACCTTTCCCCAGAGGCTTTTGCTCCCTAGGCTCTCTGGGTGTTGTCCTGGGAGCTTTGGTCTGGTCCCTGGCTGAAGTCTGCCCTGGGGGCGGGGTGGGACGGTGGGGAGGGTCCACCCAGTGGGCGCCTGCGCTCTTCAGCTTACGGATCAGGTACCTGGTTGTGATGGCGGTGCTCCCTCACCCTCCAAGTCCCCCGACCCCTCTCCAGGTGAACGCTGGTAAACTCAGCTGAATCTCCTTAGGAAGGTAAGTGGATCGTTAGCAAAAGTTTCCCACACGGTTCGCTTGCTCGCTTCATCCGAATGATTCTTAGCAATGGCAATTGTGGACTAGGCTTGGTCTCGTGCATCAGGATTTGGGGCGGGGAGGGGGGCAACTAAAATGTGGCTAGGACAACACCCAGCTCTCAAAGACGACTATGGAGATGGGATTTCTTTTGTGTCAGAGAAGCAGGCAGTGCCAGTGCAGCCCTGGGACACTGAGGTCTTGAAGAAGTGGAAAATGCTTTCCCGTAACTAGAACCACATACAAACTGAGCAACAAAAAAATGCATTTAATGCATTTACTTCCTATCTCCCTCCAACTAGGTGGGCGCTATTTTTCAACATTTATTTTAAACAATATTAAATATAACGTGAACAATGAAAGGATTTCCTTTTAATCAATATACTCAAATTTCTTGGAGCCAGGTATCTAAATTCTCTTTCCATCACATGACCAAATTTCATTTTCATAAGAGGAGAAAGGATGAACAAGTCAGTGTGTTGCCAGCTGTGAAGGATCTATTTTTGTTGGCGGCTGGACTCCCAATTAGAAATAAGTTGGGTAAAATTAATGACATTGTAAGTTACAGCTGAACTTGCAGCTGTTCAACGATGGTATGGATCAATAGGAAAGCCGAGTGACAACAGTGTTGCAAACTTCAAGTTTTCCTCTGAAGAAGACTGGTTTAATTAAATATCAACATCGCTGCTCACTCCATTATCTTTAAAGGCATATGCTAACATTAAAAACTAGATGTTATTAGTCTGAAACATGTCCTAGTTATTGCTTAACAATAAGTTCCGAATACAATTATCCTTTGTTTCTTGTTTTCCTTCACATTCATAACGTTTAATCCTATATTTCTACCAAACCCCTCTTTTACGTCAATAGTCAACTACAGGGATAGTTAAAGTTCCCATTACTTTTCCTTCGTCTACTTTTCTCTGGGGGAATTTTTTTGCATTTTGCAAATGCACTGCGGAGAATTTGCAAGTGTGTGTATAATAGAAATCTATTTCTATGATTCTTTTGATTCATAGCTTTGTTTACCACTGTTTAGCCGTGCTATCTCCCCTAGGTGTCAAAGCTGTAGAATATACAGGTACAAATTCACAAAAGCCAGTAAATGGTTTGTGTCTGGAAGATTCTGTGTTTGCTGCAGTTGTTATTGTACTTGGCTTCTGGAGTGGAGTGGGGTGGCGGTGTGGGCACCCTTGCAAATGTATCTGTATTTTATTAAGGATTTCCAGCTGCATTTCAGACCCAGATAAGAACTTTGTCCCTCAAAGCTTCATAAATCAGCAAGTATACATTTTGTAGCACACTCCTTTAGTGAGAAGTGGAATTGATTTTGGATAAGCACTGTTCTGCACATTTGAAAATATCAAACAGGATCCCACATCCTTTGCCCTTGTATATTGTAGTTACTAGTCTTGGCAAACTGCCTGGGGGAATTCCTTGCTTAGTATTAACTTGATAACAGCTGATTGCTGTTGTCTCCTCTGTTTGCCTGAGTTGTAGTGTTTGCCACAGCAGATAGACTTCCACATCTCTCATGGAAGTGCACACATCCAGAGGTACAGACAAGCTCTCATTTCAGTCACACCTCTGCTTCCGTCCCTGCCCTGCTGGCTTTCTGAGCCAAGAAAGTCATTTGCTGTCTCTAATACTGTTCAAACATGAAAGGATGTCAAAATCAAACCACTAGAACCCTTTCAGTCTTTAGAAATCCCACAGAGAAAGAGAATCCAGAAGGAAAAGGCTACCTTGACCTTGCCTTGCTACTAAAGAGTTAATGCCCTTAGCTGAGGTCCTGAAATTCTTTAGTTTCCCTCTAAAATGGCCTGGAAAAAGATATAATTTCTATATAGAATGTGATCTATTTGGCTCTCTGGATGCAGCCTCTGGTACATGTCAAATGCCTTACGGTCTTTTCTCAAGGGCCAATCTCTGAGAAATCTGAAGAGATCTCAGGCTGTGGTAAAAGGTGAGTCCTGGCATGTCCAAGTGACTCATGACCAGGACAGTCATCAGCTAGTACAGTAAGCACTGGGTCCCCACGAGGAGCCAGTTCCTTGTTGTGTTCTGAGTGTGTTTCTATTACCTTACTCAGAAGTTCCTCCCACACCTCCCACAAATAAAAAACAAAACTGGAATTGAATTCACTCATGCACAAGATTGAGAAAACAGGTCTTAGTCAGGTTCTCATACCAAGTTCAGCTTCTATTCCCTCAAAGCAAACCAGACAGGATCAATAATGGCCATCAGGAGTAACAACAGAGCCCAAACCTTGCACACCAGCAAATGAAGAAAGAATAGTACAAATAAGTGCCCTTCAACAGTGGCCGGGGGGAGTGTCTGTAAGGAGAAGCTTTTTCTTTGCTAGCCACTTTGGTTTATCTCCCGCCAGTTGCCTGGGCTCTGCCGCTTTGTAGTCCCCAAATAAACACACAAGACGCTGTATTAATTATGAAGCTGTTGGCCTTGCTTGTTTCTTACTGGCTAGCTCTGACTTAAGTAATTACCCCATAATTGTTAATCTATCTTGCTCTAGGAGGAATTGTTTTGCTTTGTTCAAATAAGCTCTACAAATTTAATTGGTTTAAGGAATTTTTCTTCTAACACTGGGCAAGGGGATATTCATTTAGAGGTAAGCTAAAAATTGGGTGAACATTTCTATTATTTATCCCACCAGAAAGCCAGTAAAACTAATAGTTGTCTGTATTAGAGTTTACCTCCTAAGAACCAAAAACTCAATGAGGACAACTTTCAAATTAAGAGTTTGATCATGACCTTGTGAGTCTTGTGCCCTGGGGGATCCAGAAGGACTCTTAACAGATTACTTATACATTCAGAGACTTCTCTCAATCACCTTGTTAACTATGGACAAGTAAACAGGGGCCCACAGAACTCAGATTTCCTTTTTTTTTTTTTTTTTTTGGTTTTACGAACAGGGTTTCTCTGTATTGTTTTGGAGGCTGTCAGTCCAGCCGGGCCTCGAACTCACAGAGATCCGCCTGCCTCTGCCTCCCGAGTGCTAGGATTAAAGGCGTGTGCCACACGGCCCGGCAAGACATTTTTTTTATTGAAATTTTGACCTCATTTAACCTCTCTACCTCTCTCATTTGACCTCTCTACTTTTTTCTTTCTGTCTTAGTTCTGTGCAGTTAGTGCTCATGGGGACTAAAGTGATTGAAAACACTGAGTCTGGGAACACAGCTTCTACTCCATGTGAAGAAAGTGTGTTACATGTAATGGGCTGCTGCCTCAGCATTTCCCTTGGGGTCTTACCACTGACAGAAAACAGGAATTTTATGTGGAACCTGCCTCCTCTTTCTTCATTTTGTCATGGTTCTCCTTCACGCCTCAGAGCCTTAACAGTTTTCCTCAAAAGCAGACGCTTCCTTAAATCTTTCCAACCTACACTGTGGCTGGTGATTCTTTGCACAGTAGTAGCCCTGGACTGGTCCCAAGTACTGAAGAAGCTCAAAGAAGCCTGGGTTCAACCAGGCACCCCATCCCTGAGCTTGTTTTTCTTGGTAGTTTGATTATGGAGGTTTTGACAACTTCTTCCATCATAATGTCCTATGGAATCAGGACTGCCTCAATGCTCTCACAACTCTCAAAGAGCTGCAAACTCAGGGGGCCACTCTTGTCTTTGTGGTACCTTCATCTTGAGTCAATCAAGGCCTGCTTACAGCCTTTGGGCTTATTGTGTTGCCTGACTCAGAAATCTAGCTCCAGAGCCTCTCAATGACAACTCTAGACAGCTGTTTCTTACTGCAGGTTATCACAGTATTGTCTGGTGTTTGGTTTTGCTTTCCTAAGAGACTAGTGTATCTCAACCTTCCAAATGCTTCATCCCGTTAACTTAGTTCCTCATGTGGTGACCCCTAACCATAAAATTATTGTGTTACTGCTGCTGTTGTGAACCATAATATAAATATGTGTGTTTTCTGGCATTTTGTCACTGTTCAAGGCTTATATTTGTGTGTGTATATGTGTGAATGTATGTATGTATGTGTGATTTATATATGAATTAAATAATTAGTTCAAGGAACAAAAATTTCCAAATTTAATATATGTGGTCATATTCCTCCAAAGTAGTACCAACAAAATGTTCATCAAAAAGATTGAAAGACTATTTGTATTCCCATCACCACCAGTGTTATGACTTTGTTTACAGGTGTTATATTAATTTCAGTAATAGACCTCATGTCTTATTTAACAAACAATTACAATCTTCATTTCTACCATTACCTACCTTATCTAGTGATTTTGTGTTCTTTGCATATTGCCTGTATTTATTCTGATAATGTGGCTATTCACCTGATGTCTTTTCCATAACTTGCTATATACATTCAAAATACGATCATGATCAGTTTAGTTAGTTTCAATATGATTGGAGAGTTCAGTATTAACAAAAGTTTTATACTTCCATTGGACATGGAGAGTTCAGTATTAATAAGTACTTCCATTGAACATGCAGAGCAGTATTAATAAGTACTTCCATTGGACATGCAGAGTTCAGTATTAATAAGTACTTCCATTGGATATGCAGAATTCAGTATTAACGAGTACTTCCATTGGACATGCAGAGTTCAGTATTAACGAGTACT